GTCTGTCAGTAGGGGCGTAAAATTCCTACAATTACAATTTTACAAAGCCGCTCACTCTCGAGTTCGTCGCCGTCAATTTGTTGCTGCCTTTATAATAACGTCATGCTCATAAGGTAATTGCGTAGGCCATCCTTGACCGGTATAGAGGTTTTGGTTCTGGGGTGAAGAGCAGAGCCAGCTTGGTAATAATATATTATAGTTATAGTTCACTTGGACTAAAGAATAATCCAAATATAAAATCAGTTGACTTCACCAAAATTCAAGCAGTTCACGGTCAATTGCTCCCCAAAATTCCCCCCCTCATTTTATCAAAATGGCTAAAATAAACCGTAGACATTTCACTACCTCAGAATTACAAAGTTCTGTCTGACATTTTTGGCCGTTTTGAGTTGCCAAGACCATTGGGTCAGAAACCAAATATTCTGTCTGCTCTGTCAAAAGCGTAAGAATATTCAGAGTCGTTGTCAAGATATTCAGAGAATTGCATTTTAAAAAAAAATCTTGACATATTGCGAAACTAAAACATTTTAACGTCAAATTTCTCAAAACTAGGTCTTGAGTTGATAGAAGTTTGTAATTCTGAGGTAGCGATTTATCTTAATAAGAGTGTGGCGATAATATTTCTGGTTCGCGTCATCCGTATTCTTGTAAGCAACGTGAAACATTTTGATGACGTCTTGTCCGTATTCGTATTGCGCTATTGTGGATGGGAGGGCTAGAGAGTCAGACCTTTTCCTGTAGCCCTAGAGAGCCAGAACGGGACTATAGTGTTAAGAAATTGATGAATTTCGAAATGGTACATGGAAATAGTATACCAAATAGATAAGACTTCGCTCTTATTTTAGAAAGATTTGAAATTGATCTATAATTAGATTGTAGACAGTGCGGTCCGTTTGATAGAGAAAAACGATGTACGGTTCATCGAGGATATCTATTTTCAGATATCGGTATCCCAATCTAATTAATATGCCATATTTGGCACAAACGGTCCTTGAGGTTTAAGCTGTTTCAAGGCATTTTTTCGAATATATCTTTTTGGGGGGCAGGGGGGAAACCTTAATGACGTCTTGTCCATTCTGTGGGCAGGTGGCCGACAGTTGCTTTTTTTGACTGAACCCATTCATGTTTTAGTATTAACGATTATTTGTGGGTGGTTGGCGGGTGCTCTTGTGTGGTTTGCAAGCCCGTGCCGATCATAAAACTTTACGGCCCGCGGGCTCGGGTCGAGCGAATTGGCTTACGCGACTCGCACCAAGGCGCTGGGCAATGTGTGCTCGCACTGCACGAGGCTCGAAATAACGGGCCACGGGCTGCCTCGGGCCTTGGTGTGCGCGTTTCTGTTTTTTCTGCAATATTTTTCTCCGTGGAGTTTATTAAAACTTTTTTTTAAAAGTTTTTTTTTGGTCTCTTTTTTTTTTTTGTCAATTAAGAAATAAGTTATAAAAAGCTAATTGAATCGAGCGAAAGTGAGTGACTGATCAGCCCGTTTCGGGCTCTCTGAAACGGCCCGGGCCCGTGATCACATGACTATGATCGGGCCGATCGATCTCGGGCCGGGCTTTATCACGGGCTTAGTAGTTTGCTCCTTCTTTCCTATCCAACATATATCATCCTTATCCCCACCCTTCTTGTTTTTTATTGTTTTTTTGTTTATTGCTCTCTTGTCACACCTATAATCTTCGGCACTTATATAACCTATTGTGTTGCAAGTATCGTAAAACTCTTACTAAACCTAAGCAATTAAAAAAAAAATAATTAAGAGTCAACTCCACATTTCAGGTGTTTTAGTTTTGTAAGAGTTTTACCGAGCTCGCAACTGCATAGGGTCGTATGAGCGCGCATTACAGGTGGTTTACGGAGGGGGGGGAGGGGGGGGAGGG